TTCGACTTAGTCGAAAAAGCGAGACATAGCGATCCTACATTCCGTCGTCGTCGTTGTCGTCGGTGGCGTCCACAAATATTCACTCTGTGGTTAAAGTTTTTGAAATTTTAGTATCCAGAAGTAAATTTTGTAAAAATAAAATTCCTGTTTTTCCATATTTTACTTGTAAATGGACTTAGTTTTTCTGCCAGGAAACATTACATTCACTCTGTGGTTAAAGTTTTTAAAATTTTAATAACTTTCTTAAATTATCCTGGATTTGTACCAAACTTGGACAGAAGCTTGTTTATGATCATAAGATAGTATCCAGAAGTAAAGTTGTTAAAAAAAAAATTTCATTTTTTTCGTATTTTACTTATAAATGGACTTAGTTTTTCTGCCAGGAAACAATATTTTCACTCTGGTTAAAGTTTTTAAAATTTTAATAACTTTCTTAAACTATCCTGGATTTGTACCAAATTTGGACAGAAGCTTGTTTATGATCAAAAGCTAGTATCTAGAAGGAAATTTTGTTAAAATTTGTACCTGTTTATCAGTATTTTACTTATAAATGGACTTAGTTTTTCTTCAAGTTAACATTACATACAGTCTGCACTGAAAGTTTTTAAAACATTTATTAGATTCATAAACTATCCTTGATTTATACCAAACTTTGACAGAAGCTTCTTACAATCAAAAGATAGTACCTAAAGGAATATTTTTATTGATTTTTTTTTCCTCATTTTTGTTGAGCCTGCGATTAACAGCAAAAGTAGGCGAGACACTGGGTTCCGCGGAACCCTTACGAATTTTTATTTTAGTTTGGTTTTTCTCACTTGTTTGTAATGCTTTTTGATTTGATTATCATTTAAATTTTTCTATCGATAGTTTCCATTATTAGTATACCAATAATAATAGTTAATACTTTAATGAAAATTATTTAAAAACTAACCAGGGACATTTCTCATCTTTGTGAGTAATCAATGTATTCACTAATTGCGATAAATTTCAAGTTTATTTCACGTTTTATTCCCAATCCAATGACATTAATCATAATACCAGAAGCGGGTACACATAGCCTTCTAATGCCAATTTGGCTACTTGTCCCTGCATGCGGGGTCGCACAAACACTGCCTACAAGAAAATAAAAAGCACATGCTACAAGCAAAGCAACATATACATTTAAAACACATAGGCATTAAAAGCATAATAAAAGATAAGTGTCTGTCAATTCCAGCAGGTAGGAATCGTGCGGCCAAAACAGAAAATTACTCCAGACATAATCCCAAAAGACAAAGTTCTTTTCATAAACTCTGTTATTGTAGTATCTTTTTTTTCCCATACCACCATAATTTGTTGAAGCAATTTTTATGTGCATATGTGTTTCTTTCCCATATACTACTTAATTGATTAGTTTATGACTTTTCTTTAACGAAGGGTATAAAAATATGTTCACATAATGTCAACAGACCAATGAACACAAGCTAGATGAAATCAAATACAATTTGATGTTCTCTGAAAATCCTCCAGATATATACTGTTGTTGTGAAACATTTTTGGACAGGAACACCAAGGATAATTTTATACAAATTCCTGGATTTATTTTAAACAGAAAAGATAGAATATCACGAGGTAGAGGTGGTCTGGTTGCTTATATTTCAGAAAAAGTTCCATTTAATAGAAAAGCTGAATTTGAAATAAGTAACATTAAAACAATGTGATTTGAAATTAAACCTGTTCACAAAAAATAATTTTTATTATGTTCAGTATACAGACCTCCTAGTTCATTAATTAATTGGACTGATGAATTTGAAAAAGAAATGAGAACTGCCATCAATCATAATTCAGATATTATTTTAGTTGGTGATTTTAATATAGATTTTTTGAAACCTAATAAACAACCACAAAAAGGGCTAAGTTTATTAGAAACCTATAATCTCAACCAGAAAATCCAAGACGCAACAAGAGTTACACCTGATTCTAGTACACTAATTGATCATGTTTATGTCACCAATAAGGATTTGATACTAGAATCACATGTTGCTAAATTCTCAATAAGTGATCATTATCCAGTATGTTTAACTAGAAAAGAAAAAAATGCCACTTATATTAAAAAAGATATTCATACTACCATTTCTTACAGAAACTTTAAAAAATTCAATGAGACAAATGTTCTAAGTGACTTAGCTATTGCACCTTTTGATAAAATTGAACATGAAAGTCACCCAAATACATGTATTCAGATGTGGTATGACATATTTAATGGAGTTCTAGATAAACATGCACCATTTGTTACTAAAAGAGTAAAAAGAGACAGACAACCTGAATGGTTCAATAATGAAATTATATATGCCAGGAAAATGAGAGAGAAATACCATAGACTAGGAATATGGTCTGAGTTCAAATTTTGATGAAACAGGACAAAACACATATATGATGAATCTAAAAGAAATTTTTATTCAAAGGTGGTAAAAATTCAAAAGCTTCAATAGATTTGTGGAAATGTATTCACAGTCTTAACCCATCCCAACAAGAAAAACCATATGAACTTTTAAATGAAGATGGTGTTAGAACTAAAAATGTCAGTGACATTTGTAATGTTTTTAATAAGTTTTTTACATCATGTGTTGAAAACCTGAGAACTGATAGATGTATGACAAATAATCATGATTATGCAAAATTAACTCAATTTGTACAAAAGAAATTTACTAAGTTAAAACAAGTAAAATTCTCAATTCCACCAGTCACAATAAATAATCTATTTAATGAGATGATCAAACTCGACATTAATGAATCCACCGGATCTGATAACATAGGACCAAAAATTTTAAAATTAAGTGCTCCTTTCATGACTTCATCTTTAACTTACATTTTTAACAGAATAATAGATACAAGTGCATTACCCAGTGTTCTAAAGAATGCAACAGTAACTCCTGTTTTTAAAGCTGGGAAAAAATTCATGGCAACAAATTATAGACCAATTTCTGTACTTACTGTTTTATCAAAACTTTAAGAAAAGCATGTTTCAAAACATTTGTATGACTATCTAAAAAGACTAAATCTTTTACACCCAGCACAGTCTGGGTTTAGACAAGAACACTCTTGCCAAACTGCCCTTATCAATATCATAGATAAATGGGTACAGGATATGAATGACGGTAATATCAACTTAACAGTCCTATTGGATTTCAAGAAAGCTTTTGATGTAGTAGATCATGATATTCTCTGTAAAAAACTTGAAATTTATGGATTTGATAATGCTGCTGTTCCTTTTTGTCAAGCCTGCGACTTTTGTCGCAAAAGTGAGACATAGAGATCCTACATTCCCTCGTTGGCGGCGGCGTCCACAAATATTCACTCTGTGGTCAAAGTTTTTGAAATTTTAATAACTTTCTTAAACTATCCTGGATTTCTACCAAACTTGGACAGAAGCTTTTTTATGATCCTAAGATAGTATCCAGAAGTAAATTTTGTAAAAAAAAAAATCCTGTTTATCCGTATTTTACTTATAAATGGACTTAGTTTTTCTGCCAGTTACATTACATTCACTCTGTAGTTAAAGTTTTTGAAACTTTCTTAAACTATCCTGGATTTCTACCAAACTTGGACAGAAGCTTGTTTATGATGATAATATAGTATCCAGAAGTAAATTTTGTAAAAAAAAAAAATCTGTTTATCAAAATTTTACTTATAAGTGGACTTAGTTTTTCTGCCAGTTAACACTACTTTCACCCTGTGGTTAAAGCTTTAAAAAATTTAATAACTTTCTTAAACTATCCTGGATTTGTTCCAAACTTGGACAGAAACTTCTTTATGATCAAAAGCTAGTATCTAGAAGGAAAGTTTGTAAAAATTTATTTCCTGTTTTTCCGTATATTACTTATAAATAGACTTAGTTTTTCTTCCAGTTAACATTACATACAGTCTGCAGTTAAAGTTTTTAAAATATTTATCAGATTCATAAACCATCCTGGATTTTTACCAACTTGGACAGAAGGTTCTTACAATCAAAAGATAGTATCTAGAGGAAAATTTTTAATCGGAAATTCAATGTAGGATCGCTATGTCTCCCTTTTGCGACAATAGTCGCAGGCTCGACAAAATTCAATAATATCATAAATTCAGGGAATGGAAAACTGGGAAATTTTACATTATTAAAACAATTAAATACATATTTAGTTATTGGAAGAAAAAGCTAAGGGTTGTATTATATAAGAAATATAGCTATAAACAATAAACTTATATTTTAAAGTAAGAGTATGAGAATTAAAACACCCAAGTGCTCAGGGGTAATACTTATACAAGTGTTTTTTTTATTAACTTATATTTACCTGGTCATGTACTTGAATGTCCATTTGGTATCTTTTGTTTCTCTTATACATGTCTTTTTTTAGAGGTAAAGCTAAAACCCTTCAATATTCAGTGTTTAAAACACATTTTACTTTTATATGCATGTAAGTATACTTTCATATTTTCTTCTTTTCTTGTTACTACATTGCTGTAATTGATTGTTTGATTGTCTGCCAATGATAATTGTCTTTACTTTGTCTTATTTGTCTGTTATCTTCAAAATAATGCCTATTCACAAGACTATAGATACTAATTATTGGAAGGCCTTGCACAGTACCTTTAAAACATTTGTGGAAAGTAGATTTCTTAAATTTACTTTGTTTAGTTCTTGAGAGAAAAGGATGAGCTCTTATTTAAAAATATGAGCAGAGCAGAAACTTTTCTTTAAGTATGTTTTGACCTCCTAAAATTTGAGAATTTAAAGGGTTGTTAACAGAACAAAATTACTTGTACAATTGGAGAAGATTACGGGGAGATTATTCAAACCTTGAATAGAAAATCGAAATCTCAAAGATTTACTAAATGTTATACTTCATTTTCAAGTAAATAAACATGACTTGTATTATTAACACCCCTAACTGACAGGAAAACAGTGGAAGTTACATGTACATTTAAAAAATATTGTATATTTTGAAAACAAACTTTGAATGTTGTTCTATAATTAATTACAGCTCCCAAGCCTCAAAGACAGCCAAGAGAAAACAGAAGACATAGAGCAGCAATGGCTGAAGGTATGAAGAGAATTAAATGTTTGCCAGTGGTAATATTAGAAATTAACATACATGAGAAACATTTATTAATAACCATAATAACATTGCAGTCAATATTACAAAATGATTTGTCATCATAACACTTTGTCAGGTCATTGGAATGGAAATTGAGATTTTAAGGGATTTTCAACCAGTTTTTGTTTGGGTTCATGCTGCTCTGTCTCTAGTTTTCTACGTCATGTTTTGTAGACAGTTAGTCTTTGTGTTTCGTCATGGTAATGTCAGTTTTTCTTCGACTAATGACTATGGTTGTCACTTTGGTATTTTATTCCTCTTTTTTTTCATTTTAAATTATTCCAAACGTATTAAAGAAAACTGACAGCCAAACAGAAGTGAATTCAAAAGTATAATGACTATTCACACATGTCTGGCTAGTTTATAATGGCTAATATGTGGGTTACATTCTTTTCTAACACATTGGTCAGCAGGTTACAAGTTTTTTTAATGTTACCCTTTTGTATTAACCAACAACTTGGCAACAAGACACTCCATTTTTTTTAGTAATCATGTTAGAAACATTCAGTATAATTGATTAAATAACACATAGCTTTGCCTTGGTTTACAATGTTTTTCTTTGGGTAAAAATCTGCTCTTTCACCCAGTTATGTATTATTTAAAAAGTGCATGTTGACATTATATTTACAAGAGGACTAGTATACATGTATTTAAAAAAAACTACTGAATTGTCTGATTACTTTGACATAGTTAGTTGCTGTGTAAACATGGTAAAGTTTAATGTTTCCTATTGTTTACTAATTTTTTGTTACAAACTGCAGATCAAGATTCTGGAGCAGCTTCTAACATAATACCAGGTACAAGTTCAGAACTAGTGTTGAAGGCAGCCAATAGTATTCAGGATACTAGTATTGTTGATATTGATGGAGGAGCTCTTGAAGGGGTGAGTGTTTTATCCTGATATTACTTATATGTGGAGGACAAGTGCCAAAAAATTCCTTACTTCCTTACTTGTTGATCGATTGGTACCATGCAAAAAACAGTTCTAGTATAACTAATCTTTGCAAGTTATTGCTTATGGAATTGAAGATTTCATATTAGTAATTATAAAATCAGATAAAGATTCTGTTGAAAGATAAAGATAAAGAATTAACTGATAATCAATGACAAATATGGCATTATTCAAGAATAATTCTTTTTTAAATCTCCTCGAGTATATACTGTGTGCTAGTGATATTTAGCAGATCACAAAATATAACATACACGATGTAGATAGAAATATTTAGAATTTACATTGTGCCAGGCAAGACAACTACATTGTATCGGGTTAGTTTTTGAATGTAAGTAAAATGAATACAATCATGACAATATTGTAATAACTTTTAGATTTAAATGAGATGAATAAATAAAACAATAATTTATTGTTAATGTAAATTGCATATTTACATGTGTGTGTGATCTTTGTTTGAACAATGAACTCTAAACTTGCTTGTAGGTATTTTCATAATATAAGGTTTTTGGTACAATTAACAAATGAAAGTATGTTGAATGTTTTATTAATCAGTGAACATTGTGAAATGGACTGAGAACATTTTGTTCCTTCTTCTTGTGATTTCAACCATTTATTCATATGCATTAGATCTGATTACTCATATTAAAAAAAAAATATATAGAGAGTGACAGATTATCATATGGTTGTTAGTTGCTGACAAGGGATAAATTGTCACATGTGATAGTGTTAATAACATTTGTAGGAGGAACATAAAAGTAATGCACAAAGCTATTTTTGTTTAATACAGAAATATGTTGAATGAAAATTGCAATTTGTTTTTCATCTACTTATCTTTTTTATAAGCTGATTGGAATTGTATTTGTGTAATTGTAGGGAGGTCAAGTCTTGAGAAATACCGTTTCATTTAGTTGTTTATTACATAGACCTGTTAGAGTATATAACGTTAGAGCTGGCAGAAGTAAACCAGGATTAAGGTATATTTTCCATATTCTACACATTGGTCTTTGTGCATCTTTGTATAACACAAACTGTCAAACATACCTCACTTGGTGTCCCTTTCTCTTCAAAATTAGCATATGATGATCTATTCATGGAGTCTTATGCATCTTTAAATTTTTTATGCAAGGATGGTCAAATGTTATTTGTGTTCAAAGGAAAACATAGAAATCTTCCAAAGTTACATGAACTAACATTTTTCAAGATATATCAAAACTCATACAAAAATATGGTTTAAGCATTAAACATGTCAAACAACTGACTTATTTTAAATTTGGCAAAATGAAACAATGAAAAACAAACAAACGATATTTTAAAAAATGTTTTGCCTTTTCTCTGTATGTTTCTTCAGGCCTCAACATTTAACTGGTATAATGTTAACCAGAGATGTTTGTCATGGTAGACTGGAAGGAGGGGCTGTTGGCTCAACAGAAATCCAATTTTATCCAGGAAATATTCAGCACGGAGAATATAGAGCCGACACAGGTACCGCAGGGTAGGTTCTAGTTAAACTCCAAATACTTGAAAAACAAGGCAACATTTCTCTACAAGCAAACATATTGGTAAGTGGATATATGGATGAATGTTTAACATTAGGGATCTTTCAACCATATACAGCTTGAGAATATGTTAATTTTAAATGATTATGAATTTTAGACGAAAATACAATTTTTCCTCAATCCACAAAAATAAATAAATCCACAGTAAGCTAAATTTGTCAAAAGAGCATTTCCTGAAATCGTAGTAATTAATCCCCATTTAGTCCTTAGTGAAAAAAAAATGAAAGCAGTACGTTATAAATTTTGTGCGTCCAAAGCGTTTTTCTTGATTGACCTTCATCAGGAACGTTCAAAGCTGAATATTTGAAAGCGAAGGATGCCAACAATAGCAATAATAAGGGCACACAACCTATTCTGAATTTACAACAACCAAAACCAACATTCCCATATCTGCTACAAAGATCAAAGAAAGATATACAACAATAACATGACATGTTTAACATCGGATTGTCTTTCATTGTTTAGTGATATAGATTTCTGAAAGCCTGTAGTTAGTTGATTACCAGTAAACAAAATGCATTGAAAAAAAGAAAAAAAAAGAGTTCTTTTTTTCAGGAGTATATGTCTTTTATTGCAAGTAGCTATTCCATGTTTAGTTTATGCTGATGGTCATACAAATCTGACATTAAAAGGAGGAACCAATGCAGATATGGCACCTCAGTTAGATCACATGACAATGGTATTTAGACCTATCGCAGAAAAATTTGGAATGAGATTTGACTGTAGAGTTATCAGAAGGTATGGATATTGTTACAATTCTTCAATTGTTGATTCATTTGATATTGTGACATTTTAAGGTCCACTTGCATCACATGTGTAATATATGTTCATTCATGTACTTTTTGTCGAGCCTGCAACATTTATGTTGCGAAAGTGAGACATAGTGATCCTAGATTCTGTTGTCGACAGCATCAACATTTAGGTTTAGTCTGTGGTTAAAGTTTTTTTAGACATCAATAACTTTGTCAAACCTTCATGGAATTTTAGGAAATTTGGACAGAAGCTTGTTTATGACCAAAATACAGTATCCAGAGCAAAATTGTTCAAATATTTATTTTCATTTTTCCGTATTTTACTGATAAATGGACTTAGTTTTTTTTACAGTTAACATTCAGATTTTGTCTGGGGTTAAAGTTTGTTACACAACAATTACTTTGTCAAACCTTCATAGAAATTTATGAAACTTGGCAGAAGCTTTTTTATAATTAAGAGATAATGTCTGAAGCAAACTTTTGAAAATATATTTCATTTTCAGTATTTTTCTCTGATAGATTCAGAGTTAGTTAGTTTTTTATGGTTAACATTTACATACAGTCTGGGATTAAATTTTTGTGACATGATAAATTTGTTAAGAATGGATTGTTATGAACTTGAACAGACACTAATCTTCAAGACAAAGAAATAGCATCCAAAGAAAAAGTTTGAATTTTTGTTTAAATTGTGTATTTTACTGATAAATGGAAACACTTTTTAAGTCAATATTACACTTTTACACTGACAGCAGCAATAGTAGGCAAATTTTCTTTTCAGAAAAAGGGTGAAGGTTTGGTACCATTAAAACGTTTAAACCCGCTGCATTTGTTTGCACCTGTCATAAGTCATGAATCCGATGTTCAGTGGTTGTCGTTTGTTGATGTGGTTCATAAGTGTTTCTCGTTTCTCGTTTTTTATATAGATTAGACCGTTGGTTTTCCCGTTTGAATGGTTTTACACTAGTAATGTTTTGGGGCCCTTTATAGCTTACTGTTCGGTGTGAGCCAAGGCTCCGTGTTGAAGACCGTACTGTGACCTATAATGGTTTACTTTTATAAATTTTGACTTGGATGGAGAGTTGTCTCATTGGCACTCATACCACATCTTCTTATATCTATATAAGACACAGGGTTCCATGGAACCCCTTAAGAATTTTATTAAGTACTAATGTTAATGTTGTTATTAATCATTATGTACCAGTTTTTATACGACCGCAAAAAAAAATTTGTGGTCGTATATTGGTATGACGTTGGCGTCGTGGTCGTCGTCGTCGTCGTCGTCGTCCGGCATCGTCGTCGTCGTCCGGCGTCGTCGTCCGAAGACGCATTAGTTTTCGCACTCTAACTTTAGTATAAGTGAATGGATCTCTATGAAATTTTACCATAAGGTTCAATACCACAAAAGGAAGGTGGGGATTGATTTTGGGGGTTATGGTACCAACAGTTAAGGAATATGGGCCAAAAAGGGGCCAAAAATAAGCATTTTCTAGTTTCCAGACAATGACTGTGGAACGGTGTATGGACCTCTCTGAAATTATACTACAAGTTTCCATACCACAAAGGGATGGTTAGGATTTGCTTTGGGGGTTATGGCTCAAACCGTTTAAGAATTAGGGGCAAAAAAGGAGGAAAAACAAGGTTGTCCTGGTTAAGGGACAAATACTTTAGTACAAAACATAATTTAAAGCAGTGTAAGGGAGATAAATCAAATACATCATTGAAATTATCTCCCTTACACTGCTTTTAAATTATGTATAAAGTAATGGTTAATGAACAATTAAGATAATTTAAAACAGTGTAAGGGAGGTAATCCAAATACAACGTTTAGTTACTTCCCTTACACTGCTTTTAAATTATGTTTAAAGAAATGCATATTTATAAAGGAAGACCAGTAAAAATATCTGCAAATGTTGCATCTTTTTTTTTACAACAAAATCCATATGAAAGATTTGACACTATATTTTAAATTCTATTATAAAATAGATTAAGTTAGCACTATGGTAAATTTAAATGGGTAATTATGGTTGCAAACTCCATTGGAAATTTGAATTGAGATTATGACCATATCTTGAGGGAAAGAATTTTTTGGGGGAAAAAAGGGGGGGGGGGGTTAAAGAAATTGTGGGGGTCAATTTTTTCTCATTTCAGATTTCAGAAATTAAAAGAATTATTTTTCAAATATTATTTTTTTTTCAAATTTCAAATATTGAAAAATTTCAAGAAGTAATCTTTAATTGGACAGTATGGCACATTAGATTTGTAAAATCTTTGACCACATTTATTTATTTGTTATGCCGAATCTAACCGTGTATTTAGATTTTTAATTTTGGGTCCAGTTTTCAAATTGGTCTACATTAAGGTCCAAAGGGTCCAAAATTAAACTTTGTTTGATTTTAACAAAAATTGAATATATGGGGTTCTTTGATATGCTGAATCTAAACATGTTTTTAGATTTTTGATTTTTGGCCCAGTTTTCAAGTTGGTCCAAATTGGGGTCCAAAATTAAACTTTGTTTGATTTCAACAAAAATTGAATATATGGGGTTCTTTGATGTGCTGAATCTAACCATGTATTTAGATTTTTTATTTGTGGACCCTGCTATCAAATTGGTTCATATTGAGGTCAAAAGGGTCCAAAATTAAACTTTGTTTGATTTCAACAAAAATTGAATATATGGGGTTCTTTGATATGCTGAATCTAACCATGTATTTAGATTTTTTATTTTTGGGCCCCGTTATCAACTTTGTCCACATTGAGGCCAAAAGGGTCCAAAATTAAACTTAGTTTGATTTTAACAAAAATTGAATTCTTGGGGTTCTTTGCTATGCTGAATCTAAACATGTGTTTAGATTTTTGATAATGGGCCCAGTTTTCAAGTTGGTCCAAGTTGGGGTCCAAAATTAAACTTTGTTTGATTTCAACAAAAATTCAATATTATGGGGTTCTTTGATATGCTGAATCTAAACATGTATTTAGATTTTAGATTTTTGGCCCAGTTTTCAAGTTAAATTAAAAAAATTGAAGTTCTTAGACCACATTCTTTCTGTGTAAGAAACCTATGCTGTGTCAAATATTTAATCACAATCCAAATTCAGAGCTGTATCGAGCTTGAATGTTGTGTCCATACTTGCCCCAACTGTTCAGGGTTCGACCTCTGCGGTTGTATCAAGCTGCGCCCCAGCGAAGCATTTTATTGTTTGTGTGCTTTTAAGTATTAAAGTTGCATAATTCATGTAGTACCACTTATTTTCTACATAAAATCTACAAAAAATTGGTTTCCATCAAGGAATAAGGAAACCGCAGTCAACTATATAACAAATTGAGTTGAAAAGTGTTTTATAAATAAGCAAAGAGCTGATTGTCAACTTCCAAACACTTGTTCTACAGATGTAGTGGTAAAGTAGGTAAAGGCTTCTTGATCAGTTTATAAACATAGTGTTAATAAACATAGTTGCTAGTTTCTTGATATTTCTTTTAGTCTCATTATTAGTGTAAGATGCAATGATTTTTATGTTATCATACAGAGGGTATTATCCTAAAGGTGGTGGAGAAGTAATGGTGACATGTCATCCTACCAAACAATTGTCAGCTGTTACTATGACAGATAGAGGAGATATCAAACAAATCTATGGTAGATCATTTGTAGCTGGAGTTCTTCCTATCAGGGTAAAGAATGGTCCATTGTTATTTTACTAGCTCACATATGAAAGTTTCTGAAAATTGGTTGATGTACTAACTCTGATTATTATTCACTTGAAAAATATGTAATAGCATTCCCTTTTTAAGATCAAATATCTTTTAAGTAACTTGATTACTTTTGACATGGATCTTGTGCTGCAGTAGCTTGCAATAAACTGCAGATTTATACTAACTTTAAATTCCATTTAAAGACAGTTACATTTTGATTTTAATAAAACATATAATTTTAAAGTTTTGGAACAATATTTGTATACAGTCGAACCTCATTGTGTCAAAGTCGAAGGGACCGGACCAAAGTATTCGACACATCCGAGGTTCGACTCATCCGAGGTCGAGTGTGTCGTCATAAATTTGGAATGCATGAAATATGGTATGATTTGTGTAAACTAGATACAATGAACAGTGTGCCTTTTTTTCGATATGACACTTTATGATTGTGTATTCAATCTCCATTTTTGGTCCTTCATAATAATTAAACACACAAGTACAGATACAAATCATGCACAAATAAAATCAATAGTCTACACAAATATTTACAAAGGTCAGTCACTATAAATTATGAAATCAATCGCGGAACGAATTAAGTTATGAACGGTCTCTGATGAGCCAGAGGTCGTCTGCTTTACATTAAATTACCATGAATTTATCATAATTATCCTTTTATTTATTGTAATTAATGAGTTTTAAATCTAACGATTCATTTAATCTCGGCTTGGGTCATTTAAATTCGTTTTGTTTTTATCTGATGTGAAAAATGTTCAACACACTAACATTCGGCTTGAACGATCAACCAAAGGTGTTAATTACCGGTCACCATAAACATGTCATTTTAACTGTTATACAAACAAGTATGTTTACTCAGCTTTAATCTCTTTGGAAAATGATTAGGTTACATAAGAAATACATCCGTTTTGAATTTTTATCATTAGGTCTGCATCTTTTGAAAATTCATACTTTCGAACTTCGAGTCATCGGGGTCAATTTACATCAATTTTACATCGACGGGACTATACAATTTACTCGACTTAACCAAGTATTCGAATCAACCGAGTTCGACTCATCAGAGGTAATTTTGCATTGATGAAACGGGAATTTTACCGGGACTGAGAAATTACTTCGACTCATCCGAGTTTTCGACACAACCGAGTTCGACACAACAAGGTTCGACTGTATTTATGCCCCGCTGTAGAGTAGGGGCATAAAGTTTTACCCTTGTCCGTCTGTACGTCCGTCCGTCTGTACGTCCATCCGTATGTACATCCGTACGTCTGTACATCTCAAAATTGGTTTCCGTTCTCTAACTTAAGTTTGCCTCAACCAAATGTTATGAAACTTATACACAATGCTTATTACCACAAAAAACAGATCAAGTTTGAATTTTGGTGGCGTCACTTTAACCATTCCAAAGTTATGTCTGTTTACAAATGGAAAAATTGCTGAATTTTTCATTTCCATTCTACAACTTAAGTTAACCTCAACCTAATGTTATGAAACTTATACACAATGCTTATTAGGGCCCCGCCAAATGGCGGGTTGCCCTATAGTGATCAGTCTGTCCATCTGTCCGTCCGTAACAAATTGTGTCCGCTCTATATCTAGAAAACCGTTATAATTTCATACTTTATACTTGACATGTATATTAACAAACACCAGAGGGTGTGTCATAATGTTTGTACAACTTCCTAGGTCAAAGGTCAAGGTCAAAAACTTTGGTTTCAGTTGACAACCCCATGTCCTTTGGTAAAGATCTTGTTCTCTCTATATCTTGAGAACCGTTATGATTTCAAAGTTTATACTTGACATGTATATTAACCAACACCAGAGGGTGTGTCATAATGTATGTACAACTTCCTAGGTCAAAGGTCAAGGTCAAAAACTTTGGTTTCAGTTGACAACCCCATGTCCTATGGTAAACATACAAATTTTTTACCACATGTTATTCACAGCTGGGCCCACAGAGATGGCTCCCATCTCAATGATATCTAGTTACCACAAAATACAGATTAAGATTGAATTTTGGTGGCATCAGTTTAACTGTTCTAGAATTATGCCCCTTTTCAAATGGAAAAATTGCCGAATTTTTCGTTTGTTCTCTAACTTAAGTTTGCCTCATCCAAATGTTATGAAACCTATACACAATACTTATTACCACAAAACTCAGATCAAGTACAAATTTGTGTAGCATCACTTTTACCCATCTTCAATTATGTCCCTTTATAACTTTATATAATATGCAAGTGGGGGCATCATCTGAGTCCCATGGACACATTCCCCATTTATTTTACAATTGAATGACTGACCACACCTTTCAATGCTAAAAGTGGTAAACAGAAGCACTTGGATAAGCTGCATAAATAAAATCAAAGTATTGATATTTGTTTCACAACCATTTTTGGTGCTAATTATTAAAAATGATGTAAACTAAACTGTCTAGACATGATTAAGGTGTTAAATGAATAGTGAAAGGTTAAACAGTCGATAATGACAGTGTGATAATTTGACAGATCTATTAATGTGATGCAGTTAGTTTATTTCATTACAAGTTAATATTTAAATTGGTGAAATTTGAAGTGGAAAACAACTTTCAACTTTTTACTTAAAGGAAATTTTTCTATTTGTCTGGTCTTAGACAAAAGATTTTTGAAGTAAAAGTGGCAATTTCTGACACTCACAGTTTCCTAAAAAAGACATATTTTGAACTTTGAAAATTGGTATTTCCTGTCTTTAGAGTATTTACCAAAATGTTGAAGTGTACATAATTATGTATAGCTCATCCAGGCCATTGTTTAATCCACGGGATGCATCAAATTAATCTACTATTTGACTTTGCAAAAAAAGGGGGATATGCATCAGGATTGTTCAATTAAAACATACATTGTACCCAGGGAAGGCGTTTTGAAAATAGAGTGACCACCCATAGAAGCAATTGTAGAGTCCTGCATACATTTAAACCAGTACAACACAATATTTCATACCCACCCATAGTGGCAAATTTAAGTTGCCTTCCTTGGGTCCCATGTATGTTTTTATAGAACAGCCCTCACCTTCTGTATAACTATATATAGTCTAGTCTTTCTATCATCAGGCACAATTTTGACATATTGATTTGTTCATGAGGGGAAAAGTCTATTGTTTTATGAGACCTTTATGAATATCTCCATCCACGTTTTTCCCCACAAAATTATGACTATGAAACAGATCAATGTATATTTCAGGTTGCCCATATTATGGCACAAGTTGCTGAAAGTATAATACATAAAGAATATAAAGATGTAGCAGTAAATATAGATGTAGTAAAAGAAGAATCAGCCATAGGAACTGGTACAGGTATTGTGTTAGTATTCATTTATTAATATAGTATTAATTTCCCTTCTGGAGCATCATTTAATGGTATAGTATAAATCAGGGCTTCCAAAAATTTTTTGAGCCAGCCGGACATTTATATCTTATCCCGATTTTAAATCCCTTTAGACTTAGTAAATTAGGCAACTATGATAAACAGTTGGCCATCATATATGATATAACCAATGATTGACATTAAAACGATGTTAAACTTTACTTTGATATAAATTCGATGTTCTGACGTAAAGTGTAAAATTGAAAGTGCAGCATTCGAAGTGTGCAACATCAGCGTACTAATTATGCTTAAGACTCTTTATTTATGCAAAATAACGCTGTCAAAAGCTTTACTTTCGTTTTTAAAATCACATTTTCCTAAAGGTATCATTGATAATTTTAGCATTATTGAAGATTAGGATGCATAATTAAATTTCCCACCAGCGGACAATAGAAACCTTTTCAAATTTTTCATCAAATCATATTTATTAACGTATTTCTTATAATTTCAATCTTTTAGACTAAATTAATTAGATGCAACCCGCTGAAATGTAAGAAAATAACTTTGAATACCCTTTAGCGTACCCCAGTATTTAACACGATGTACAGTGTTTTTAAATATAATAATGAATATTATACATATTCAAATTCATTTATAAATATTCTTATTTGAAGAATTATTTTAAAATCTAAGGAAACTTTTTTAAAACTGAATGGTCATTTACAATAATATCTACAAAGCGTAATTAAATAGGATGTTGTTCCATACACGCTTACATGTTTGACCTCGTTTACCTGATCACCTTTATGTTCATTGTTATGCATCATCAATTCTATTGATTACGACAAGCTAAGGTCTCTCATCAAAGGTAATGACCTGTAATCAGTGAATGATTTATGGGTTCAATATTACTTATTGAAGGGATAATTGTTTGACAGCTTGTTGTTTTTTAAATAAAAGAACACATTTTTTTTTCCTACTTTTTATTGATAGTTGGTAAAAAAAGTGAAATAACCGTTTTATGAAAATGCCTCGAATAACAAAAAGTGACAAACCTATGATATTTGACCGTTTGAGGCTGAGAACATCCAGACTTTTTATATAAATTTCGGTCAAGTCCGGAATATATGACCGTTTTGGAAGCCATGGTATAAATATCCCTATTCTGGAGCACATTTTATTAATTTAGTATTATTTTCCCTGCTTCATCACTCACATTCCCCCAATCCCCCTCACCCTTGGTTTTTGCTGGGGTTATTTTTTCTCAGTCTTTAGTTTTCTGTGAAGTGTTTGTTATTGTTGTAAGTTGTTTCATAGTGTTTTTTTGCTATATTTTCTCTCATTTTTATATATGACCAGAAAAATATTGGTTGTTGTTGGTTTTTTGTACGACCGCAACAAATTTTTTGGGATCGTATAATGGTATGATGTCGTCTGCATTGTCGTCCGAAGACACATTGGTTTCCAGACAATAACTTTAGTTTAAGTGAATGGATCTCTATGAATTTTTTTAAGAAGGTTCAATACCACAAAAAAAGGTTGGGATTGCTTTTGGGGATGATGGTCCCAACCGTTTAGGAATTAGGGGCCCAAAACAAGCATTTTTCTAGTTTCAGGATAATAACTTGTAAGTATTTCAATTGCTCTGAAATTGTACCACAATGTTTAATACCACAAGTAGAAGGTTGGGATTTATTTTAGGGGTTATGGGGCCAACAGTTTAGCAATTCAGGGCCAAAAAGGGGCCAAAAACAAGCATTTTTCTAGTTTCCAGACAATAACTTGTGTGTAAGTTTGTGGATCTCTCTGACATTGTACCACAAGGTTCCATATAACAAAGGAAAGGCTGGGATTGAGTTTGGGGTTAATTGCCCCAAACATGTAGGAATTAGGGGCCAAAAAAGGGCCAAAAACAAGCATTTTTCTAGTTTCCAGACAATAACTTGTGTGTAAGTGTATGGATCTCTCTGAAATTGTACTACAAGGTTCCATACTACAAAGAAAAGGCTGGGATTGAGTTATGGGGTTATTGCTCCAAGGGGGGTTTCAAAAAGTTGGGGGGGGGGATTTTTTTCCCAATTTTTTTAAGGGATTTATATTTTTTTTTCAAAATTTTTTAAATTTAGAATTTTTGAAAAAGTTTCAAGAAGAAATCTTCAATTGCACAGTATTGCACAATGGATCTTTAACCACATTTATTTTGTGTCAGAAACCTATGTTATGTAAAAAATTTGATCACAATCCAAAATTCAGACAGTATCAAGCTTGAATATTGTGTCCAAATTTGCCCCAACTGTTCAGGGTTCGACCTCTGTGGTCGTATCAGGCTGCGCTCAGCGAAGCATTTTATTTTTTGTTACTTTTGAAATTGTTACTTGTTTAATGTTGTAGTTTAGAATCATTGATGAGATTTTTTTGGACAGGCACAATTACATACGGTGGTTTTAACTAGTTTTTAACCTGATTTTCGAAAGAAAAATCGGTTATTGATTTTGGGATGTATTTTGGTCGGGCGGGCGGGGGGCTGCCAAACAGTGTCTGTTCATTAACATGAAAAGGCTTTGACGAAATCTTTTCAAATTTAGATATGTTGTTTCCTGTGACTAAATGAAGGTGAAGTTTAATTTTCACGATTTTAGCTGTTCTTGTTGTTGAGTTGTAGACCTTTTCAGTAGAAAAAGTGCTTATTATAAGATTTATTCAGTTTGAGTTATTTCCCTTTGAACAGAAACAGTATAATTAATAAGTATATGGATAAAATTAAACTGTGTTTCATTTCAACATAAATTGAATATATATAGGGTTCTTTCAAATGCTGAATCTAAACCTGTACTGAATATTGGATTTTTGGGCCCAGTTTTCAAGTTGGTCTAAATCAGGGTCCAAAATTAAACTTTGTTTGATTTCAACAAAAATTGAATTTATAGGGGGTTCTTTCAAGTGCTGAATCTAACCATGTATTTAGAGATTTTGCATTTTGGGCTCCTTTATCAAATTGGTCCACATTGAGGTCAGAAGGGTCCTAAATTAAACTTTTGTTTGATTTCATCAAAAATTGAATTCTTAGGGTTCTTTGATATGCTGATTCTAACAACGTACTTAGATTTTGGATATTGGACCATAATAGGTAAGTGTCCAAATTCAAATTTTTCTTTCATTGACCACATTCATTTTGTGTCACAAACCTATGCTGTGTCAAATATTCAATCATAATCCAAATTCAGAGCTGTTTTAAGCTAACATGTTGTGTCCATAGTTGCTCAACTGTTAAGGGTTCGACCTCTGCTGGAAATCCGGTTTGCTGTCACTCTGACAGCCTCTTGTTTTACTTTGGACAGGCATTAATTATAATCAGTTTCATAGCATTACAAGTCCAAGGGCCTTTCCAAAATCATCCATGAATAATATTTTTGTATGAAAATGCATAAAAGTGGCTAAGGTGATGGTTAAATTTATGGTCTAATCATGGCTCCTTAACTTGTAAGTTTTGTATTATCTCTAGTCTCTACTAGAAAGCCAAAATAAAAAGTGAAAATTAGACTCTTACAGCATCTTCCCTTTTAAAACCAAATGACTTGTGTACCCAAATGCAGCAGCTTTTTAAAACTTATACTTTTTTCAGACTAGTTGCAGAAACTACAACTGGGTGCTTTTTGGGAGGTACAGCTTTAGGGAAGAAAGGTAATTATTTCAATCTTGACTATGTTGGCCTCATGAGTTTTTATATAAAAGAACAAACCAGAAGAAGCCATAACCATTAGTTAAACCTAGGCATTATAAAGGTCTGTTATTCTTACAATACCCTATTGCTTTATCTAGAATGAAAAATGAAAATAAATTCTACTGACTTCATATCTTTTTACCATTTTATATATATTTGTAATACATAAGTTTTAACAGGTAAAGTTTATGACTTATTTTTGCAGCAGTGATCTTAGTTAAATAATTTCCACATTTTAAACTGTTATGAAAAAGATATGTTAACAATTTTACCAAGATTGATGTTATGGATTAAGTAAAATAATATATTTGTGAAAACCAACAAAACATAGATCTTATAATAATCTGATAATAAAGGCTTTATTTGTATGATTATTCTTTTATTTCTTTCAAAAGGCTATAGACATTTTTCTAGAATGAAAAATAAAGAAAAGATCTATAGAATTATAATCTGTTCCTGATCAAGATATAAACAATAAGCAAATGTGGTAAGATTGCAAATGAGATAACTTTCCACCAAAGACCAAAGAACATGGATGTGAACAACAGATCTTCAATAATGGGCAAAACCATATAGTATGCTATAAGGCCATTTGATGACAAATTTCGAAACAATGCAAAAAATTAAACCAACAGCTTTATTATACCAATACAAAAAATGATAAAGAATGGCAAATGGAAATCAGACAATAAATGGATTGTCTATATATCAAATTACTCAAGCTTCCTCTAAACAGATTGATTGATTGATTGTTGGTATTGAATGCCACTTTTAGAACTATTGGATATAACATGGCAGTCAGTTATAATTGGTGGAAGAAGCCCATGTGCCAGGAGAAAATCACTTACCTTAGGCTGGAAAACTGTCAATCCTAGTCAATTAAGGTTGGAGTCGAAGGCACCTGTCATATTTGGTGTTCAAACTCATAACCTTAGTGTTGACAGGCTAGGGATACAATAGTTGAACTACTTAGACTTATTGGCCATTGAGGCCCCTCCTACACAAACTATTTTTTTTTTAAATATTCCACTTTGTTAAGAATTAACATAAATTATGCTAATGAAATAATTGTTGAATTTTATTAGGAAAGCAAGCAGAACAAGTTGGACAAGAAGCAGCAGAAGAATTAATCAATAATTTATATCATGGTGGTTGTGTAGATGATTATGTACAAGATCAGGTTTGTGTTAACACTCTTTGTTTGTGCTCTCAGTTTCATCTACAAGGACGAAAATAGAATTTACCAGATGATATACCGTAAAGCGGGTTATTTTCGCAGGTGTAAAATTTCTTGATTTAGGGCAAAGTATACGAAAAATTTTGGCGGTTTTTATTTTGGTGGATTCTCAAATCCCAATGAAATATTTTGGCGGATACTGAAATTGTTGCAGTTAAAAAGTTGTAAAACTTGACAAACAAGTGTCTTTTGTTATGGTTGGTTTTTACCTAAATGACGTCTTATTTATTGATTATATTCTGATACAGTTAATAAATAGAATACCGATGACTTAGATATTTGTTACAGGTATTCAAACGTCTTGTAAATTTTACGGTTGATTAGTTACGAAATTGACCAGACCTTTGATGTACTTACTAATTAGGTTTCAAAATTATCATGAGTGTTTACAACTCTTGTATAGTTTGACACTAATTAATAAGGGTAATTATCTGATCAGAGTACCTTACACTCTTATTCTAATTGACACTTATTAATAAGGGTATACACACCTGACAGTCATTTTATAAAATACATGTATGTACAATGCCCTTTGGCATTTATGTTGTTAAAACTAACATATACTGCTATTGACTTGCCGACAGGGAAAAATAGATCGTTCACAAAACGCTTTAGCTATTAGAAATTACCCAACGGATGCATAAATTTTCGCAGAATTTTATTTTCGCGATTTTCGTTTATCCGCAAAAATAAGCGAAAATAAACACCCCGCAAAAATAACCCGCTATACGGTAGTCCATATAATCTTTGGCACTCTCTCTCCGTCTGCTTTTGTAGTCTTTCCTTGTACAGTTAGGTGAATAGAAAGTTTTTAGCAAATTATGAATTTTAATAATCTAAACATGCCAGGGTTTTGAAAAATGTTAGAGCTAGAAATATTTTAAGCTTACCTGGCCCATTGCCAGAACTTGACATCCATTGTAGTCTGTTGCCTGTTGTTGTGATCTTTTTAAACTTCCCTTAACCAAACTTGGCTAACATCATCCCTATGTTGATTAGTTTTAATATATAGTTAATAATAGTTTTAGTATCAAATATGACAGCTGACCTACTTACATGGCAACTGTTACTTTAAATAGATATTATTCCTCAAATGCAACTTTTTTGTGCTTTATTACTTCAAAATTCTATGCGTCATCATGACTCTGATCTTCGTATTAGCACACGTGATCTGTTGCTGGTTTGTAAAATAACTTACATGTGCATTATAAAAAAACTATAGATAGGAAACAGAATATACAGATTGGCTTTAAACAACAATCCCTTAAGTAACTGTCCTAGAGTCTCATGTTTTAATCTCACCCTTTATTACTTGCATTATTTTTTATACGCCCGTTTACGGGACGTATTATGGTATACCGTTGACCGTCTGTCCATCCGTCTGTCCTTCCGTCGTCAACATGTCGGACATTAACTAAAAAAAGCTTTAACCAATATGCATGAAACTTTGGTGAATTGTTTATATCTATTGACGTGAGCTCCCTTTCGTTTTTTATAAATTTCAGATTTACCGTTTCCGAGTTTTGGGGTTTTATTGATTAAAAAAGGGGGGATTTTCCAGTTTTCTGACAATAACTCAAGAATGCTTTCACCAACTTGCAAGAAATTTTGGTGAATTGTTTATATCTATTGACATGAGCTCCCTTTTGGATTTTTATAAATTTAAGATTTAACGTTTCCGAGTTACAGGGTTTTATTCATAAAAAAAGGGGGATTTTCCAGTTTCGGACAATAACTAGAAAATGCTTTCAGCAGTACTCATGAAACTTTGGTGAATTGTTTATATCTGTTGATGTAAGCTCCCTTTAGAATTTTATAAATTTTAGATTTTACATTTATGAGTTATGGGGTTTTATTCATTAAAAAGGGGGGATTTTCCAGTTTTTGCACACTAACTCAAAAATGCTTTCAACAGTTCTCATGAAACTTTGGTGAATTATTTACAGCTATTGATGTAATCTCCCTATTGATTTTCATAAACTTCAAATATGACATTGAGAAGAAATTGAACTTTATTTGTTTATAGTCTGACAACAGATTTACTAAGTATTGCGCAACAGCACAGTGTATTGCACAACAGCAAGAAATCTTTAATTGAATATAAATTCAATTCATATAACCAATTTCAAGTTCTTTGACTACATTTATTCAGAAACCTATAATATGTCAAATATTTAATTACAATCCAAATTCAGACCTGTTTCAAGCTTGAATATTGTGTCCATTTTTGCTCCAACTGTTCAGGGTTGGAACTCTGTGGGTGTATCCAGCTGCGCTAAGCGAAGCAGTTTATTCATATTTCCATCATACGATATATGCAGTTTTTACTGTGACTAGATGCTTTCAAGTTGGTAAAATGCTTTTGTTTATTAGAAAGTTTATGAAAACATCTGCTTGAAAACTACTTGACCTTTCTACTCAAAAAGAAAACTTGAACTGTCTAAGTGTTTAACTGGAACAAATTATGAAGATAACTCGTCCCATTCAAATGACTGTGGTCAATCTACTTGTTAAATGTCTACTGTCTGAACAAATATGGATGCATATGTAAACTTATATTTGTTTTGTCTTACAAAAGTTGCACTGGAAACTTTGTTTTAAACAATGCCACAATATCTGTTCCTGCTAGAACAAATATTCTATAATCTTTTTAGTTAGGAAAAAATACTGTGATATTTGATGCAGTCAAAATAATATTACAGAATATTTCTTTCATTTGGATCTTATATTATAAAGGAACTATTTCATGAGACATATAAATAAAAACATCTGCACATTTTTGTGAAGAGTTTTATTGTCAAGTTTTAGTTATCATATGCACACAATAATTGAAATAACTTGTTAATAACTTATCTATTTATTTTTGGTGAGTTTCACCGAGCTTTAACACCTGTATACATAGACACATTTTTGCCTATGTAAACAACATGGTTCTACAGGTGTTTTGTTGAAAAACATTAAAATAAAGATCACTTTTAATATTTTTTTCTCAATCTAGATCATAGTTTGCTTACATTTATATAAAGTTGCAAAACACCTATATGAAAAACAATTTTTGAAGACTCAGCACATATATGGTGCTTAGATAGACACAGCTTACCTGTATATTTACAGGTAAACAAACACAACCTGCTTGTCATCTAATCAACAATATTATTACTATTAACATCTATTAGGGTAATGGTTTTACAGAAATACCACCACATTTATTGGAACTAGAAGAGAAATATATATTCCACCACACCACTTGGTTGATAACAATATTTATCCAGTCCAGATACCTAGTTCAATTTCTAAACTTTAAAATGCTAGATATACCAAGCATTTTAAAATTTAAGTATCAAGAGTGGATAAATATTGTAGTCAATATAGGTTAAAGTGGTAAGATCTTGTTTCTCAAATAATTTGTAGAAAAATGCCAGTTGCAATGTTCCAAAAAAGATATGGCTAGAAATTTCTAATTTTATAAATGTGCAGTTTGTCAAAATTTACTAAACTTGTCAGAACTGGTTTAAATGCACACAGAATCAGAGAAATATGCCTCTATTACAGAAAATAATCCAGCTATAATGACCATTTAAACCATGAAAATATTTCTTTGGCAGAAGAAAACTTGAAAATCTATATTTGTTGTTTGGACCAGTGCATTTCTAAGAAACTTTAAGAAATGATTTGTTAAGTCTGACAAATCTTACTGTTTTTGAATTTCAAAAATTTGAACATTAATATTGAAACTTGAACTTTATGAATCAGATTTGTTCAGAAGTAGGTCTGAATTGTCACAAGTAACAATTTTCACTTTCTTATTATTTGGTAATTTTAACATTCTTATAACTAACAAAAGCAGTTGAAACAGGTCTTTCAAATAATACTGCACTTATATAGGACACTGTTAGCTTTTGAAAGTAATTATTCTTATGACAAAAGGAAATGGAATAGACCTATGAAAATTGCCTATCTTGACCAGTGTTATATAACATGTTAGATTATTGGATACATTCATACTTTCTCCAAAATTGTGTTCAATTCAAAATAATACATCGATATTATGTTATATCTAAGTGACTTTAAAAAAAATTCTTTCAAGTCTTGCTCTTTGCTCATTTTATTGCAGGTAGGCATTATATTTGTAAACATCTTTATACCAAGCATAACCTTGATGTGAAAATATTGACGAATATAATACAATGTCTTAAAATATTGACAAATATAATATAAGGTCTACAATATGATATTATTACGTGATTATTTCTGTATTGGCCTTATTATTGGTCAGAGGCAAAGCCGAAGGCTAATATAGCTTGCCGAGGACCAATAACAATGCCAATACAGAAATAATCACGTAATGATATCTTTATTAATCAACTACAGTGTTTCTATGGGTTTTTTGTTTTTGTTTTATTTCCTTTCACCATATTTTAACCTGTTTTACCTTGAAATTGAACTATCCAAATCTGAGTTTCCTTTTATAAGCTGCAATGTCAAATGACCTGGTGCTGTTTGGAAGTGACAGACATGGGGTCAATTACTTTTGAAAGTAATTAATTACATTCAATTATAATTACAAAATCTTCAATTAAATTACACATTACATTTGACTTTTTTACCAATGTAATTAAATACTTTCCAATTACTTGGCAAATGTAATTAATTACTTCAATCCAGCGGAGCATTTTATTTAAACATAAGATGAATGAATAAATGATTTTGAATGACTATTTCTACAATATTTGTCGCAAAAGCGAGACACAGCGATCCTACATCCCATCGGCGTCATAAATATTCACTCTGTGGTTAAAGTTTTTCAAATTTTACTAACTTTCTTAAACTATCCTGGATTTCTACCAAACTTGGACAGAAGCTTGTTTATGATCATAAGATAGTATCCAGAAGTAAATTTTGTAAAAAAGAAAATCCTGTTTATCCGTATTCTACTCATAAATGGACTTAGTTTTTCTTCCAGTTAACATTACGTTCACTCTGTGGTTAAAGTTTTCAAAATTTTAATAACTTTCTTAAACTATCCTGGATTTGTACCAAACTTGGACATAAGCTTGTTTATGATCAAAAGCCAGTATCTAGAAGTAAATTTTGTAAAAAAAATTTCCTGTTTTTCCATATATTACTTATAAATGGACTTAGTTTTTCTTCCAGTTAACATTACATACAGTCTGCAGTTAAAGTTTTTAAAAAACATTTATTAGATTCATAAACCATCCTGGATTCTTACCAAACTTGAACGGAAGCTTCTTACATTCAAAAGATAGTATCTAGAGGAAACCTTACAAATTTTTTCATTCAATACGAAATAAAGAATCTCCCATGGTTGTGTTATTACAGAAAGTATACTGTGTAGGGTTTGCTTTGTCAGCTTACTACGTTTACTAAGGTCATGGCTTTTCATCATTTTTTGAGAAAACACAAGATTGAATCTTTCTGATCCAAAATTTCAAATGCAATTGAGTTGTAATTGACAAGTAATTGTCAATTACAGTCAATTTTGGCTATGTAATTCATTACTTTCAATTACTTGTAATTGAAAAAATGCTCAATTACACATTACATTCAATTACTCGAGAATTTGTAATTGATTACAGTCAATTACAATTACATATTTCAATTACCCCATGTCTGGGAAGTGTCTTCTACATTTTTTGATGATTTGTTAACCCTTTTCAGTCACTATAAAGTGTTCAATACATATTTAGACGCAACACATAAATAGTAATTGGAAAGGTACTGCCATTGCATGAGAAATTCAGAAACAAAAGGATTAAATAAAACTGGGAGTTGAATATGATTGCCAATGAGACAACTATCCATAGACCATGACCAAAGAACAAAGACTTGAAGGTCAGCCTTCAACAATCCATATGCCTGATTTTGTTGAAAAATATATAATATCTAACAAAAACATGAGAAGCGAAAGTAAACAGTAAATTGAAATGCACCCATTAAACTGATAAAATGTTTTAAATACTTAATAGTTGTAAGGTCGACAAGAAATGAGTATTGTGATAATCTACAGACTCGTTGCCCAAACCTGAAATAATTCAATTGTCTGCTTACAAAATTATTTTTAAATGAATGTGACTGTCTTCAGCCTGAAATATTTGCCACACTGAATGTTTCGTCATGTTTATGGTGAGTAAATAAAACTGTGTCTTCCAAACGACATTTTATATTAAGTTTGTGTTTATTGTGACTTTGGATCTAAAAACTAGAGACATTCAGAAATCCGGTATTGGCTGGATCAGAACTCGGCCAATACGGAAAAAATCAATATTGGCCAAGTTGACTCTTTTGTTATGCAAAGGTAGTTTTCATCATATTAAGTCCAAAAACAGAGTAGTTAATTAATAATGACAAATATAACATACAAGGTCTAAAATATTGACAAATATAATACAAGATCATTATTTTCTCTGACTGTTTATGGCATCTTTACCCTTTATCTGTGAATGTTACTGATTGATATTTATGTCTTCAAAACAGGATTTATTTATTAGTAGTAGTTGACATTTAAATATCTTTCAGTTATATTGAGTACTCTTGGTTCAGTACTTTGTGTCTATTGTCTTTTTGTTAGTTGTTATTTGTGCCTCATGCCATCTGATGAGTCAAGTTCTTTCTTGCTGAATTTTACAGTTTGTTCTTATGTTTTGCGCTTTACTGCCACTGTTTCAGTGCTCACAAATATGTTTAACCCCTCAACATTATTTATATCCATGTCCCAAGTCTGTAACTGGACCTCATCTAAATAATCATCAACATGAACTCTGAAAATTGCAAATAGGCATGAGACAACAATATAAATATAAATAGATTCATATAAATAGCACTTGCAATTGTATAATGACAGTTTTTTCTGATTAATTTTATTAAGAGATTAAAAAAAGATGTAATGTACATCATTGTTTTACCTGTAACCTTTGTAAGAATTTAGGTTATTTTTAACTGTCCAGATCAGTCGAAAAAATCAGTCTCCTAGTTTCACTTATTCAGTTTGCATCCTTTTAATAAATAAACATGCTGAGCACATGCACAATCGTCTCCAAGATAGGTCACAACTAAGATTGCATGCACATGGATCCAAATGACGAGGACTTATTGTCTTGCAGGACAATAATGTATCAGCAACTCTTTTGATCTGATTTTTACAAAGTTAAACCAAACTGACTGCTAATAAAGAATTATTATTTAATATTCTTTTATTTGTAAGTGTTTGTAAATAAAACCCATACAGTTTTGATTTTTTTTTTTTCAACTTATACTACATTCAAAATCATTACTAATGCCACTTTAAATGCAAGATTTTTGTTTTCCAGATTATACTGTTGATGGCTCTAGCCAAAGGCAAATCCACAGTAAGAATTGGTGCCTTGTCTTTACATACAGAAACTGCCATTCATGTGGCAAAACAGTTAACTGAGGTATGGCTAGATATAATGTATTCAAAATGAAAAACAAGGAAATAATAAATACATTAATGTAAATGGATTGACCATTTTTATGCCCCTGCCGTAGCGGTGGGGGGATTAAGTTTTACCCTTGTCCCTCTGTACGTACGTCCCAAAATTGGTTTCCTTTCTCTAACTTGAGTTGCCTCAACCAAATGTTATGAAACTTATACACAATGCTTATTTCCACAAAACACAGATCAAGTTTGAATTTTGGTGACATCACTTTAACCGTTCTAGAGTTATGCCCCTTTATAAATGGAAAAATTGCAAAATTTTTATTTTCTTCTAAATATCAAGTAATTTTTATACGACCGCCAAAAAATTTTTTTGGTCGTATATTGGTATGACGTTGGCGTCGTCGTTGTCGTCGTCGTCTGGCGTTGTCGTCGTCGTCCGAAGACACATTAGTTTTTCGCACTCTTACTTTAGTTTAAGTGAATGGATCTCAATGAAATTTTACCATAAGGTTCAATACCACAAAAGAAAGGTGGGGATTGATTTTGGGGGTTATGGTACCCACAGTTAAGGAATTAGGGGCCAAAAATAAGCATTTTTGTAACTTCCAGACATAACTTGTGTGTAAGTGTATGGATCTCTCTGACATTGTACCACAAGGTTCCATATCACAAAGGGAATGCTGGGATTGATTTTGGGGGTAATTGCCTCCAAATTTTAGGAATGAGGGGCCAAAAAGGGGCAAAAAACAAGCATTTTTCTAGTTTCATGACAATAACTTGTGTGTAAGTGTATGGATCTTTATGAAATTGTACTACAAGGTTCCATATCACAAAGGGAAAGCTGGAATTGAGTTTGGGGGTAATTGCCCAAAAAGTTTAGGAATTAGGGGCCAAAAAGGGGCTAAAAATAAGCATTTTTCTAGTTTCCAGACAATAACTTGTGTTCAAATGTATGGATCTCTCTGAAATTGTACTGCAAGGTACCATACCACAAAGGGAAGGCTGGGATTGATTTTGGGGGTAATTCCCTCAAAATTTTAGTAATTAAGGGCCATAAAAGGGCAAAAAAACAAGCATTTTTTTAGTTTCAGGACAATAACTTGTGTGTAAGTGTATGGATCTTTATGAAATTGTACTGCAAGGTTCCATATCTCAAAGGGAAAGCTGGGTTTGAGTTTGGGGGTAATTGCCCTAATCGTTTAGGAATTTGGGGCCACAAAGGGGCCAAAAAACAAGCATTTTTCTAGTTTCCAGACAATAACATGTGTTCAAGTGTATGGATCTCTCTGAAATTGTACTGCAAGGTACCATACCACAAATGGAAAGCTATGATTGAGTTTGGGGGTGATGAATCATAAGGGGGTTCAAAAAATTGGGGGGGATTTTTTTTTCCTTTTTTTTCTTTAAAATTTCCCATTTAAAATTGGTTATTTCTGATTTATATATAAAAGCAAATAATAATGATATGGTTTGAATAGGTAAATTAAAAATTTTTAAGTTCTTAGACCACTTTCATTCTGTGTTAGAAACCTATGCTGTGTCAAATATTTAATTACAATCCAAATTCAGTGCTGTATCAAGCTTGAATGTTGTGTCCATACTTGCCCCAACTGTTCAGGGTTTGACCTCTGCGGTCGTATCAAGCTGCGCCCCAGTGGAGCATTTGATTAAAATTGGAGTTATCTTCCTTTGTCCATGATTATAGTTAAATCAACTACAATCAATATTTTATACAACGCAATGTTTAATTTTGACTTCCACTGATAAAACACAGATCAAGTTGAATTTGGGAAGTGTCACTTTAACCTTTATTGAGTTATGCCCCTTTATAAATCGAAAGATTGCAAAATTTTTAGTTTCCATTCTGTAACTTAAGTTTGACCCAACCAAACATTATGAAACCTATACACAATATTCATTACCACAAAACTAAGATCAAGTACACATTTTTTGTTTCCGTTTTCTAACTTTAGTTTGCCTCAACCAAATGTTATTAAACTTATACAGTATGCTTATTACTACATAATACAGATTAAGTACGAAATTTGGTGGTGTCACTTTTACCATTCTTGATTTATATCCCTTTATAAACATAAAAATTGCTGAATTTTTCGTTTCCGTTCTCTAACTTTAGTTTGTCTTAACCAAATGTTATAAAACTTATACACAACCGTTCTAGAGTTATGTGGGTTAACAAATAGAAAAATTGCTGAATATTTAGTTTCTGTTCTCTTCTTAAGTTAGCCTCAACCAAATGTTATGAGACTTACACACAATGCTTATTACCACAAAACTCAGATCAAGTTCAAATTTGAGTAGCGTCACTTTTACTGTTCTTCAGTTATGTCCCTTTATAACTATATAATATGCAAGCGGGGGCATCATCTGTGTCCACATGTGGACACTATCCACATTTATTTGCTGTTATCATATTCTAAACTTCATTATGCAGGTAAGGGTTAAAGATATTAAATGATAGAAATAATTATGTAAAGCAATAGACCACTTTCGAGTTTGTTGCATTTCCTTCAAAAAGTTTGGTTTTGGTGAACATCATTTGTGCATTTGGGGGCATCATCACTTCCTTCCCATGTTGAGCGAGTGGTTGAAAAATATGATGCTATAATGCACGTATTATTCATCAAATTAAATTCTCATAATTGATAATCAGCACTGCTGTCATTAGGGAATTGTGATTAAGTACCTACGGAAAAAACACTATTTCTAGTTTATCCTGCATAATGACAATCCTGAAGGCGCTTGATGAACCTATAGTTGTTAATTTCTGTGTCATTTGGTGTCTTGTGGAGAGTTGCCTCATTGTCAATCATACCACATCTTCTTTATTTTCATATTAAATAGTGCAGGGATACAGTCCATCCCCTCTATCTGGTAAATTATGTTCTTAAGGCACGCATAATTGACAAACTTTGCCGGTTAAGGACAAAACTCGAAAGAGGTCTTTTTTTCAATATATTTGAGTACACTTAAAAAATTTTGTATAGCTGAAGCACTGTTAGAGATTTACCTTCATCAGGAATGCTCAAACCCAAAAGTTTGAAAGCCTTGGATGTATGTATACGTGAACATGTGAGCCAAGGATGTATGTATACCTGGACATGTGAGCCTAGGATGTATGTATACCTGAACATGTGAGCCAAGGATGTATGTATACCTGAACATGTGAGCCAAGGATGTATGTATACCTGAACATGTGAGCCAAGGATGTATGTATACCTGGACATGTGAGCCAAGGATGTATGTATACCTGGACATGTGAGCCAAGGATGTATGTATACCTGAACATGTGAGCCTAGGATGTATGTATACCTGGACATGTGAGCCTAGGATGTATGTATACCTGGACATGTGAGCCAAGGATGTATGAATACCTGAACATGTGAGCCTAGGATGTATGAATACCTGGACATGTGAGCCAAGGATGTATGAATACCTGGACATGTGAGCCTAGGATGTATGAATACCTGGACATGTGAGCCAAGGATGTATGAATACCTGAACATGTGAGCCTAGGATGTATGAATACCTGGACATGTGAGCCAAGGATGTATGAATACCTGAACATGTGAGCTTAGGATGTATGAATACCTAGACATGTGAGCCAAGGATGTATGAATACCTGAACATGTGAGCCTAGGATTAATGAATACCTGGACATGTGAGCCAAGGATGTATGAATACGTGAACATGTGAGCCTAGGATGTATGTATACCTGGACATGTGAGCCTAGGATGTATGAATACCTGGACATGTGAGCCTAGGATGCATGAATACCTGAACATGTGAGCCTAGGATGTATGTATACCTGAACATGTGAGCCTAGGATGTATGTATACCTGAACATGTGAGTCTAGGATGTATGTATACCTGAACATGTGAGCCTAGGATGTATGTATACCTGAACATGTGAGCCTAGGATGTATGTATACCTGAACATGTGAGCCTAGGATGTATGTATACCTGAACATGTGAGCCTAGGATGTATGAATACCTGAACATGCGAGAAGCTATATGCTCAAAAGGGACTTAAGAAAAATGGCCAAATTCGTCTAAATTTTGTCTGTAGGAGTTGTAACCATAGTTTCTAAATAATTTCTTAATTTATCAATTATCTGTGTAATCTTGTTTGCTGTTGTTTATTAATGTTTAAATCTCATTTAGAATCATTTTTATTTGCCCGTTTACGGGACGTATTATGGTATGCCGTTGTCTGTCCGTCCGTCGTCAACATGTCGGACAATAACTCAAAAACACTTTAACCAATTTGCATGAAACTTTGGTGAATTGTTTATATCTATTGACGTGAGCTCCCTTTTGTTTTTTTTTTTTTAATTTTAGATTTTATGTTTCCGAGTTATGGGGTTTTATTCATTAAAAAATGGGAATTTTCCAGTTTTCAGACAATAACTCAAAAACACTTTCACCAATTAGCAAGAAACTTTGGTGATTTGTTTATATCTATTGACATATGAGCTCCCTTTTGATTTTTATAAATTTTAGATTTAACTTTTCCAAGTTATGGGGATTTATTCATTAAAAAAAGGGAGATTTTCCAGTTTTCAGACAATAACTCAAAAATGCTTTCAGCAGTTTTCATGAAACTTGGGTGAATTGTTTATATCTATTGACTTAAGCTCCCTTTTGATTTTTATAAATTTTAGGTTTTACATTATGGAGTTATGGGATTTTATTCATAAAAAAGGGGTGATTTTCCTTTTTTGGACAATATCTTTAATGTGCTTTGAGTAGTTTTCATGAAACTTTGGTGACTGGTTTATATCTATTAAGATAACCTCCCTTTAGTTTTTCATAAATTTCTGATATGACATTAAGAAGTTATTGAACTTTATTCTTGGAAAACGTGACAGGCATATCATGTCCTTATAGCGCAGCTGTTTATTCCACATACTATGCAAAATAAAAAATTACTAAAAAAAAAAAATACTTTTGTGATAGAAGACCATAAGACACAATTGGTATTACTGTTAACAATATGTTAAAAGAATTACCAGGAGATGACACAGATATATTCAACCTACATTTGATGAAAATTAACACACAACTTTTTTTTATTACTATGTGATAATGAATTTCAATATAATAGTTGATCTTACAAAGGAAGTGACACAATTGTTGTTCAATTAACCTTTTGAAAAAGTTTATGTAAGCTGATTTTACCTCTGTACATTAGTGCTTTAATATTTTAGTCATGTTCTGATTTTTTATTTTGCGTCATATATTTTATTCTCTCTATGGGTCATGATTACAGGTGCGTTTTCTTGGGTATATATACTATAGGTCACTGTAAGCCCTTCAATGATAAGCAAACCCATATCTAATGGCCAATCTATTGTATTTAGTACTTGGGAACCTTGATGTGATATTAAATACTTTGGGGAACCTTGACATGTTTATGTAAACATACTAAAGAATATCTGTACTCTCTGACAAAGATATAAATGTTAAAATTATGACCATCTTAATAAAAAAATATTGAAATTCCAGCTTTTGGAAGATACTGATTTCAAGGAAAATTGGGAAACAACTAGACAATATGAAAAATTCAACTTGAAAATTATGTTGATTTGAATAATAACTTTATGTAAAAACTCTGATCAGAAAATCCTCTAACTTTAAACATTTGCCATTTAAACACCCAATTATCAAAACAACAAAAAAAACACTTTAAGGATACGACATGCAACAACCACTGACAAGCATAATGTATATCTGTATATTTTTTTAATTTTTAGGCCAAATTTAAAATTACAGAAATTAACAAAGGAGCAACGCTTATAGAATGTGATGGAATAGGACTAGTTAATTCACAGGTTGGAAGTTAGTGATGGATTTATATTGTAGTTTGTGCCATCAACTCCAAGAACCAATGTAAAAATAAGGAGATCAAGTTTTTCTCTACCACTATTGTACTACTTCTGGTTACTTAACCAGTGAGTGAAATAGATACAAATATTTCTGTTATTGTCTTTTCGGTTTTGAAATTGTCTTTAAAGAATATTAGATAGTAATGTGAAATTAATCTATTGTATTTAGCAGTATAACATGTTTCGCTTTACGTATCTATGAATGACATATAAAAAGGTTCTGCATTTGCCTGATGCGATTAGGAACCAATGAATAAAATGTCACATATTCATTAAAACTCTGTCATTGTAGTGATAGTGTGCCTTTTTTGATGGTTGAAAATTATTAATATTCTCGTTAGCATCATTTACAGGTCTCACTTTACATAGCTATATGTGACATTTAAGGATGTCTACCTCTGAGGAGCCAAACATTTCTAGAATTAAACTTTGTTCTTAACCTGATTTTTGGGTATATATGACTAAAAAAGTAATTGATGAAGAAAGTATCATATGGTGGTGCCCTTCTTTTTTTTTCTACAGCCATTTGTTTATTTATCATCAATTTTTACGTATTTTTGGGCTATTATCATAAAAAAAATCACAGTTTCACAATTAAACTTTTTTTCATTCATTTCATTATAGATGAAGTGGACCAATCTGAATAAATTTAACTTAAGAAAACTATAGGTTGGTGTTAATATTAGAAAGTTTTATAAAATTTTGTTGCTTTTTGTGTCAAATTGACCATGCTGTCAATTTTGTAAATTGGGGATTTTTCTCTTTTTTTTTAGCATGTTATTTAAACTTCTTTGTTATAAATGATTGAAAAAATACATATCTAAGAATTTTGAAATGAAAAAATTGATATGGGATGTACATTTTTTGGTAAAAGCATTTCTTTGTACACTTCACCCATTTTCTCAACATTTTGGCTAATGACATTGACCGGATTGGTTATAAAATTTTTAAATTGTATTACTCAAAAACTACTTATAGCAAGTACACATTTTTTTCACAGAGTTTACTTTGATTATAAATTTTTTTTTAAATTCATTGATATTTTCCACTTGTATCACATGTTTTGGAAATAATTCCCGAACAAGATTTCAACAAGACTGAAACATCAGAAGAATACATCCTTAAAAAAAAGGTTCTATATTTGCCTTATGTAAATATGAACCAATAACAAAAGTTACATGTTTGTTAAAACTCTGACACTGTAGATCTTTTTTTAATAATAAACAAAATATCTTTCTGTTGTATTGTATATTGTATGATGTAGAAACAGGAGATGCGTTAGGATTGCCATGTGACGTAGATGTTAGCAACTTTAGGTCACTGTACGGCCATCAAGGTTAGACTCATACTGTAAAGTCAGCTATAAAAGAACCAGACATGACAAAATGTGAAACAATATAAACAAAGAAAACATAACAAAATAATAAAAGAATAACAAATATGACAGACCACAGCTAAAAACAATCACTGAATTACAGGCCCTTGGCTCAGGACAGGCTTATGAAGTGGTGGAGTTAGGCATGTTTGTGAGCACTTATCCATCACCTTAACCTGGGACTGGTGTAACAAAGCATCATAAAAACAAATTGTAAAAATCAGTTGGAAATGGCTTGACTCATCAGATTAACACAAAGCACAATAGATAATTAACAAAAAAACAAAGCACCAATCTAAGAGTGCCCACAAAAACTGAAAGCTAGTTTAAAGGCAATTACAACTTATACATTGATTGTGTTTTGATGAAAGTATTCAAAGATGTAATTCAGTTTATGTACAGATAATGAAGAAATAACTTTGTTTTTAAGTATTTAGAATGAAGCAGTTATACATACTTTTGTGATTGTATCTTAGATTGTGCAATAAATTTGAATTAACATTTAGTCACCCTTTATTTTTATTTATGCATTATGAATCTATGAAAAGCAGATTATGGTTTGACCCTAAATTTATCGGCATCACAGGTGTCACATGACTGAAAATCATGACAAAAACAGTGTGTTGAAAAGTTATCTTGAATGTATATGTCCTATACTCTTAGCACTTTTATCAGTTTTGATGGAAAATGCCAAATCTTGTGACAGAAAATTTTCCATGAAACTTTAAATGATGAGCCAAATTTAAATTTATTGACGCATTTTATTGATTAAAATTTTGTATTTAACATCCAGTAAGTGAATCAAAGTAAATCTTTAAAAGGAAGTTAAAGGAAGACGATGCAATGAAATGAAATCATAAAAAAATACCCAAAATCACACCCTATCACTTTTCTGAGGAAAAATTATTGTGGAAGCAAAAAGATAAACTATAGCAGTATTGACGAAAATTTAGATAGTCCTCTGTACAGTAAAACTTCGAGAGGAAAAATGTTATATTGTCCTGTTGTTTTTTTTTTTTTTTTTATCAAATTCTGCCATGGAAGTCTCAGATTGACAGACATAAGGAGGCTACCGCGGTAATCTGTTTCGGAAAAATATACTCTTTGTGTAAAGCTTTATATTTAAGTATTAGGTACTCAATATTTTTTAAATGTAAGTTGTTCTCATTTTCAACTCAACAACTGCATACCAACTATGTAGGTTTATTTATCTTAAGATTTTTTTCAATTAACAGACAGGGTTAACCTGACCATTTCAGTAATCTCTATCTTTAGTTTTCATGATGAGGCCAGTTTTTCTGATGCTAGAAGTAATAGGTCATCTAATTTGACCGATCGACTTTTTTTAAAAGAGTTATGTCCTTGGAAATATTAAATTTATGGAAAATGGCCTCGTTAGTGCTCTCATATGGGTACAATTCTTGCCAGATTTTTATAAAACTTATACTATAGGTTAATATCAGCAATATCTTGGACAAGTTCTATTATGGTGGCCTATTAACTTTTTTTATGCCCCCGCCTTGGTGGAGGGGGCATTAAGTTTTACCCTTGTCCGTCTGTACGTACGTACGTCCCAAAATTGGTTTCCGTTCTCTAACTTTAGTTTGCCTCAACCAAATGTTATGAAACTTATACACAATGCTTATTACCACAAAACACAGATGAAGCTTGAATTTTGGTGGCGTCACGTTTACCGTTCTAGAGTTATGCTCCTTTACAAATGGAAAATTGCTGAATTTATCGTTTCCGTTCTCTAACTTTAGTTTGCCTCAACCAAATGTTATGAAACTTATACACAATGCTAATTACCACAAAACACAGATCAAATTTGAATTTTGGTGGCGTCACTTTTACCGTTCTAGAGTTATGCCCCTTTACAAATGGGAAAATTGCTGAATTTTTCGTTTCCGTTCTCTAACTTTTGTTTGCCTCAACTAAATGTTATGAAACTTATACACAATGCTTATTACCACAAAACACAGATCAAGTTTGAATTTTGGTGGCGTCACTTCAACCGATCTAGAGTTATGCCCTTTACAAATGGAAAAATTGCTGAATTTTTCGTTTCCGTTCTCTAATTTTATTTTGCCTCAACCAAATGTTATGAAACTTATACACAATTCTTATTACCACAAAACACAGATTAAGTTTGAATTTTGGTGGCGTCACTTTTACCGTTCTAGAGTTATGCCCCTTTAGAAATGGAAAAAATTGCTAAATTTTTATTTTCTTCTTAAATATCAAGTCATTTTTAAAATTGGAGTTATCTTCCTTTGTCCATGATTATAGTTGAATCAACTACAATCAATGCTTTATACAATGCAATGTTTAATTTTGACTTCCACTGATAAAACACACATCAAGTTGAATTTGGGTAGTGTCACTTTAACCATTATTGAGTTATGCCCTTTTATAAGTCGAAAGATTGCAAAATTTTTAGTTTCCATTCTGTTACTTATGTTTGCCCCAACCAAACATTATGAAACTTATACACAATATTCATTACCACAAAACTAAGATCAAGTACAAATTTTATGTTTCCGTTTTCTAACTTTAGTTTGCCTCAACCAAATATTATGAAACTTATACGCAATGCTTATTACTACATAATACAGATTAAGTACGGAATTTGGTGGCAACACTTTTACCATTCTTGAGTTATGTCCCTTTATAAACATAAAAATTGATGGATTTTTCATTTCCGTCTCTTAACTTTAGTTTGTCTCAACCAAATGTTATAAAACTTATACACAACCGTTCTAGAGTTATGTGTGTTTACAAATAGAAAAATTGCTGAATTTTTAGTTTCTGATCTCTACTTAAGTTAGCCATAACCAAATGATATGAGACTTACACACAATGCTTATTACCACAAAACTCCGATCAAGTTCAAATTTGGGTAGCGTCACTTTTACCGTTCTTCAGTTATGTCCCTTTATAACTATATGATATGCAAGCGGGGGCATCATCTGTGTCCACATGTGGACACTATCCACATCTATTTAAAAGAGTAATGCCCCTGGGAAATATAAAATTTATGGGAAAAGGCCTCGTTAGCACTCTCATGGGTACAATTCGTGCCAATTTTTTATAAAACTTATAGTATACTATAAGTAATGCCCTTAAGGTCTGTTTGAAATGTAATTTGTTTTCTTTAACAAGATAATCAGATATTTATAAATTGTTTTAAAGAACAAAAAGTGTAAGGGAGGTAATCCAAAAAACAAAATTGTACAATGTTGGATTACCTCCCTTACACTACTTTTAAATTATCTATTTAAGACTTATAGATGTATTTAATTTAAATGGGTAATTATGATTGCAAACTCAATTGGTAATTTGAATTGAGATGATGACCATATCTTGAGGGAAAGAATTTTTTTTTTTGGAAAAGGGGGGGGGGGGGGGGGGGGTAAAAAAGAAATGGAGGGAGGGGCAATTTTTTCAGATTTCAGAAATTAAACAAAATTTCTTCACATATTTTTTTTTTTGCAAAAAAAAGGGGGGGAGGGGGGGTTCAATACGCAACAGCATAGTGTATTGCCCAAAAGCAAAAAAAAAAAAAAAATGGGTTAATTTTTATTTATTTTGTTTGGGGGTGGGGGTCAATTCGGACAGGCACAGTGTATTGCACAAAAGCAACAAATTGATAATAAATTCAAATCATATAACCAATTCTAAGTTCTTTGACTACAGTTATTCTGTGTCAGAAACCTATTATTTGTCAAATATTTAATTACAATCCAAATTCAGACCTGTATCAAACGCGAATATTGTGTCCATTTTTGCCCCAAGTGTTCAGGGTTGGACCTCTGCGGTCGTATCCAGCTGCGCCCGGCGAAGCAATTTATTATCTATTTTTGTGAAAATAATTTGCCAATTTAATTCAAACTTGGCAAAGGTATGAATGATAGGTGAACAACAAACGATCCTCATGTGAGACTGGATGGAAATTATGGCCACTAGAAGAAATCTTTTTTTGATTCTAATTGGCCAATTACAAACATCTTTTACTGTGAACTGCAATTCAAAATAGTTTAAAAACTAACAGGAACTGTGGATTGCATTTTGAGACATACTTCAAACGGTCTCGTGTGCATTATGTAGTGTAATAAAGTGATGATTGGTTCGGAAACACAACAGAATAGCTACCACAGAGTTCCTATTTAACCCGTATGGAACATAAGTTTTTCATCTTCTCTGAAACAAAATGGCTAACTTGAACATTGGCATTACTAATGCATGGAAGGTCCTGAACTAACTAAAACTGATATCCATTTAGTTTTGATTGATTGAAAGCGTGGTAGCAAGAGACACTCTTTTATTCTAATGGCTAATTAAAAAAGGATCTCTTTAAAGACAAGCAAAAGTTTTGAAACTGAAGTGAATAACGATTTAAATTTGAAAGCTAAGGATGTGAAAATGCACAACTATTTGAGAAGCTATGTGATTAAAAGTAATATAAAAAGAATAGCCAAATTCTACTAGGATCAACTTTGCCTGAGGGAGTTTGAACCTTAGTTTCTAATTAATTTCTTAATCTATCAATTATATAAATTAACATGACCCATTCAGATCACCATACTAATGACAACAGCAATAATCTACGTACGCAGCCGTGTTCAGTTCTTCTACAAGACATTTTGGATTTTAATGACTGAACAACACTGTCTCATTTCGAAATGTAAAACCAAAAGCTGCAAAACCTGTAAAATTGTAATTACAGACGCTCAGTTCACTAGTAATTGAACTAAATAGTCTTATTTTACTAGAAGCTACAATTATCTGAATTGTAAATCAACAAATGTTGTCTACGGATTAGAGTGTAACCTTTGCAGATTGGTATATGTTGGTGAAACGAAAGGAAGGTTAAATAAACGTATGATTTGCCATAAATCAGACATCAACAACAATGCAAGCGACATTGTTTACCATCATTTTAACCAGCCTGATAATTCAAGCCTTTTTATGCAAGTTCGCATCATCGAAAAAAATATACCATAGGACTAACAATCCTCATCTTGCAACACCTCTCCGTAGACAAAAAAGAAGATAATAATGTTTGGAAACCACTGTAACAAACCCTTATTCAAACCAATACAAACTTACAGCTATCATTTCGGATATTGCAAGTCACAGACTTTTCAAACCAGTTCGCATTGGAAAAGATGAAAAGGAGAAAAGATCCTTTCTTAAACTTTCCTTTGCCAACAAAGGTCTCGATGCCATCAACTTGGGCAATATCCCTCATCATTCTAGTAAATCAGTTCACTCGAAAATACCTCTCTATTTTAAAGATTAGTCTGTACCTATCATTTCTTATACCTATACCAAACCAATTGCAACTAAAATTTTCAATTACACAGACTTGTTGCAGGATCTCAATATTGACGACTTCAAGTCTAAACCTCCTGATTGCACCTTTGCTAGTTCCGCATTTATATATAATCCGGCTGGCCACGTTATTACTGGTTAACCTAAACACTTGTCAATAACACTTCTGTG